CACTCTGTCGAGAAGACGCCAAAGTTGGCCGCGTTCTTGATGTCGGTACAGGCACGGGTATCTGGGCGGTTCAGTTTGGCGATGACCACCCGGAGGCCGATATCTTGGGTATCGACCTTTCTCCCACTCAGCCTAGCAGGTATGTTTCAATCAAAGTCGGTATCTCCGTAGCGAGCATCAATGCCAATATCTCAGTGTGCCTCCTAATGTGAGGTTCGAGGTCGATGATATCGAAGACGAGTGGACATTTTCACAACCCTTTCAATACATCCACAGCCGGTTCATGACGTCTAGCATCAGAGACTGGAGAATTTTCTTACAAAGATGCTACGAGTAAGTCTGATCACTTTGTAGATCACAAGACGAAACGACGAAGCTTGGAGCTGACCAGTGCGAACATAGTAATCTGGAGCCTGGTGGTTATGTTGAGCTTCAGGAAACCGCTATTTTTGCTCAATCTGATGATGGAACCTTGAAGCCCGAACATGCTTTATCCGATTGGTCCAAGTATCTCATGGAAGCGTCGATCAAGCTTGGAGCAGCATGGGTTGATACGCCCGAGCTGAGGGGACTTATGGTTGAGGTCGGTTTTGAAGATGTGGCGCTAAGTACTTTCAAGTGGCCGACGAACCCTTGGCCGAAAGAAAAACACTTCAAAGAGCTGGGAGCATGGAACAACGAAAATTTCATGACGGGGATGGAGGCAATCACGATGGCACCCCTCACACGTGCCTTGAACTGGAGCCCCGAAGAGGTCAGAGTCTTTCTCATGGAAGTCCGCAAGAACGGAAACGACCGAAATATCCACGCTTATTGGCCCCAGTAAGTTCTCCCGCTATAAGATCGTCTGGCTTATTCTTACTTGCATAGGCATGTTCTCGTTGGGCGAAAACCGGTCAAAGAAAAGCAAGAGTCAGCACCAGCTCTAGGTCCGGCTTCGGGTGCATCACCGGCTAAGTCAAAGCACCCACTTTTGGGCACCCCCCCCTTTTGGGCACCCTAACAAAACATAGCATCTAAATATTAATACTAACTATAATTAATTAATTAACTACTTTCTACTACTATAATAATATAATTAAAATTCTTATTAAGTAATTCGACCTTTATAAGTTAATTAAAATTAATTAAACGGTTATTAAAGTCTTCTTAAGCTCTTTATATATTCTAAATATTTATAAACTTAGTATTTAAATTTATTAATATATTTTTCTTTTTTTTTGGCCTTATATACTTAATCTTAGCTTTAAAAACTCGAACTTAGTACTAAAATATAGCTAATTAATAAGCTTATTTTTTAAAGGCCTTTTTTATTTTTTTAAATAATAGTTATTAAGTATTATTATTTAGACTAAGCTCTATAAATAACTTTAAATAATTATAAAACTCGCTAGCTTTTTTAAGAATTTACTAATTAATAATAGAGGTTATTAATATTTAGTTAAATAGTTTATTAATATTATTAGTCGTTTACTTAGCTTTTATACCCTTTTTAAATAGTATAATTTATATAAATAGGATTATTAAGTTAAAAAATAGCTTAGTTATATTAAGTAGCTATAGTTTAGTTATTTTTTACTTACTTTGTATATTTAATAACGTTAAACTAACTAAATAAGTAAATTAATAATAGCTTAAAAAGTACTACTTTTTAATAATAATAAATTTATTTATTATATCCTCTTTACTAAACTCCTTTTTATAATAGGACTTAATAAGCCTAAAAATAGCTATATTTAATAACTAAAAAATATAAGAAGTATATAGTAATAAAAATAATAAATAAGCGTTATTTTTATAATACTCTTATATAAATTCTATTATTATATAACTCTTATATTTATTTAGTATTAATAATTAAAGCTAGTTTAGCTTATTAAGCCCCTTAATAAGGGGGGTCTTAGTTTATAATAAGAATTTTTTTTAGCTAATAAAGAGTAGTCTCGTTAGTTATTTAGTTATTATTTATTATTATAAACTTCTAATTATTATAAATAATAAGTTAAAGGGGGAACTATTATTATTAAACTAACTTTTTTTTATAAATAATTAGTAGTTTAATAACTTTACTATTAATAAAAATATATTTAATAATTATTACTTAGGTACGTAAACTAAGCTCTTTTTTTTATATTACTATAGCCTCTATTATACCTAAAACTAGCTTATTAGCTCCCTTATCCTCTATTATACTAATCTTATTTATATTATAATATATATAATAAGTGAGTAGGCTAGATAAGCGAGTAGGCTACCTAACCGCGACTATATTATATTCGTAATTAAAAAGTAGTACTAAGAAAAGTAATTTAATTAAAACTATTTAGTATCCTCTTTTTTAAATATTTTTTTAGTAATTTATTATATTTACGTATTATAATTAGTACTCTTATAGACGCTATATCGTTATTAACCCGTCTTAGTTTTTGATAATAATTACTATTCTAACGTATTTCTTTCTTAATTTAAGTTATTACTTTTTTTTATAACTAAAAGTCTTCTTTATTAATTATTATAAGACTTCCTCCTTATTTAAAATATATTTTTTTAGCCCTTTTATATTAGCTAAGTAAGTTATTTTTTTTTAAAAGATCTAGTTCTCTAATTTTAATAAAATAATTTAATATATAAATCCTCACGCTCTTTTTAATAAATACTTTATAACTTCGATAATTAAAGTTAAGGAGCTATTTTAATAATAAGTAATTCGATTTTTAATAAGTTATAATTATAATAATATTTTTATTAAGTTATTTAGTATTTAAAAAGTCTAGGTTAGTAGTATTATTAAGACGGATCTTAGAAGTATTAGAGTATATAATTTTATATTAAGCTTAGATAGTATATTCTTTATATTTAAAAATATAAACTTAGCTTTTCTAAATCTTCTTTAAATATTTTTTTTTATAATTACTTATATAAATACTTTATAAAACGTAAAAAAGAAGTCCTTTTTTATAATATAAGTATTACTTTATTATATTTTTTCTTTAATTTCTTAGCTATATACCGTTTTTAAAAGTTTAAAATATTTAATATTTAAGGGCTATAATAAATAAAATAAATAAGCTAGTATATAAAGGGTAATAATATTATTCTTTTTATAATATAATTTAAAATCTATAGAGTAGTAACTTTTATATTTATTAATAACGAGGAGGTAATATTAACTTTTTATATATAGTTTTATTTATTATTTAAAATATTTTACCTAATCTAAGCCTTTTTTATTTATTATTTATCCGTTTTTAAATATTATAATAACTTAATTACGTAGTAAACCGGATTTTATATACTAAGTAGAGAGGTAATATTTACTTATAATAATAATATATAGCGGGACGCTATAACCTAACGAACTAATAGCTTAGATAATTATAACTTATTTATAATTACTAAGTTATATTATTTTTATATTTAAATATTTTTTTATATTTATAATAACTATTCTAGATATAATCTAGCCTATTATAAAGCTAGTCTTATTAAAATTATAAATATCGGACTTTACGATACCGTATTTCGTAATTATATTTATTATAAAATAAAATTACGCGTTTATTACGTTTAGATCTTCGTATTAAGCCCTTTTATAGTTATACTTATAAAAAAAGCGTATTTAAAATTATAATTAGTGCTTAACAAAGTTAAAAACTTAGTACTTCTTAACGGGGAGCGTATTATAGTTAATAAGTAGTTAATTAGTTATATTTTCTATATTATTAAAGCGGGGAGGAAACGATTAAGAATTTAAATTAAGAATATACTTAATTAGTTTCTTTTTTTTAAACGTAGTTAATTTTTATAAATTAAGCATAGTATTATATTATAATAATATTCTATCTAATTTACAACTTAAAGTAACGTAATTAATATTATAGATCCTTATTATAGCCCGAATAATAAGATTTCGGTCTTTATAAATAGCCTAAATAGCTAGGTTTAATTAAGTATTTTTAGTTAGCGCTATTATTCTTCTTAGTTAAGGAATGCGTATTATAGTAATATAAGTAGCTTAATAGTAGTTAGGTAGCCTACTCGCTTATTTAGCCCACTCGCTTATTATATACGTTAACCTATTTAATATTATTAATCTCTAATATATTAAATAATCTAAACTATAATTTAATTATATTAGTAATAGCTCTATTAATATAGTACGAATTTATTAAATAACTTCTCTAAACCCTTATTAATAAATTCTTCTTAATAAAAATATTAATTTTTTTTTTTAAGTAGTTTAGTATCCCCTTAAGATCTTAGAACTTATTTAGTAAATTCCTTAATTTATTTATAAATTAGTATAATACTTAGGTAATACTAAATTCGAATTTACTAAGCTATTTAATCTTCTTATTATAAAAAAAGCTTTTAAAGCTCTATAAATACTTTTACCCTCGTTAAGTAACCTTTTTTTTAACTCTAGGGTATTATCTTAAGAACCCCGAACTCGATTAAGGCCCTTTTAATAAAAAGATAGTTTTTAATAATATTAAGTACTTATTAAAGCTTATTTTTAATATATAATATTATTACTTATTAATTAGTATATATATTAAAAAGGAATATATTTAAACGATTTTTATAATTATTATATTAAATTAAAATAATAAGTAGGGTTTTAATGTGGTAGCTAGGAGGGATTTTTTGGGGTGCCCAAAAGGGGGGGGTGCCTAAAAGTGGGTGCTTTGACTTATAGTATAGCGTTGACTTATAAGAGCTCAGCCAGGGTGCAAATACTTTACTTAGAATTACGTTAATAACCGACTAGTCGACCCTTTCTACATTATAAAAAAATCAAATGTGTAGACTATTGTGTAGCTGACGTTGAGATTATGGTCAAGGCAATCAACTGTGACACAAAGCAAAAGCCTCGATCATGATGACCCTGCTAATCATTGTTCCTTCAACTATATGTCTGTCTATATACACATACATATAGCCATGCCATGACAGGACCAACTGTGTAGGAAGCAAGCACTCTTTACTTTCTCTAGACGTTATTCCTTCGGCTTGTACGCTGATGCTGCACTCGCATCGATAGACGACAGTTCTGTGAAGGCGTTGTCTTTTGAGGTACCGTACGTGTCAGCGTATCTACCTGATATCCACTCTCCAACCGTCACCGGGGGATATTTAGGGCCTGCGTCGCCTCTGCATTTCGAAAAGCATTCAACCACAAAATCAGGATTCCCCGAAAAAAAGAATGGAATGCTATATCTTTCCCTCCCCGACTTGTTGATGACGCGGTGCAGGTTCGATAAATACCTATCGTTTGTCCAGCGCATCATTAGGTTCCCAAGGTTCACGACGAGAGCACCCTCTGTGGGTTTGACGTCGATCCATTCCGAGGAGGCGCGATCCCACACCTGCAGGCCACCGACCATATCCTGCAGTAGAATAGTTATGGCCCCAAAGTCGGTATGAGCGCCGATACCTGTCAAGGAACAACGGAGTCAGACAGAGAGACTCCGTAAGAAGAGAACAAAACGTACCTCGCTCCGTTGCGGAGGCATTTGGGGCCTGAGGCGGGTAATGCAACAGACGCAGAACAGCGATGGGTGTGTCAATAAAGTCTGAAACCCAGTCATCATCATTTCCGATGGTGGCGCAAAGTGTACGGATGATGATCTCGGCGAGAACGCACATGGCGGCGTGGTAGTCGTCAATCACCTTTCGAAATTGGACGGGGTCCGTGACGTCTTTCGGGTATTTGTTTGGGCCTAGGTTGAATTTGCGCTCGAGTACTTTAGGGTTGTCGATACGTAGGTCCTTGCCAAAGTAGTACCCTTCCTTCAGATCTCCTTGTGCTAACGCCTCGAAGTTTTGAGATCGCAAGCGTTCGTATCCCCGATTGAAGCCGCCTAGATCTAGAAGCGAGAGGGACATGGCCCCGTTAGCGCCCCATCCTCGGATTCCGTTTTGTTGACTGCAAGAAAGCAACGAATTAAAAAAACGCTAGACTCACTCTTATCATACTTTTCTTTCACCTCGAGCGGTAGCGAGAATAGCTCTTTGCTCTGGTCCAAAGCCGCATCTAGAAGAGATTGGGGAATGCCGTGCCCTGTGAGTTGAAAGAAGCCATGACTCCTGCATGCGGCCTCGAGTTGTTCCACAAGAATCTTCTTAGCGCCAGCATCTGATGCGAATACAGCTACAAAGTAATATTAACTAAGTGAGCGAACGCTGTGTAGAGCATGCGGAAACGTACCGGAGAAGTCGATACTGGGAATAGGCATCTTGGACAATATACGAAGAGTAAGGGTGTAAACTACACTTTGATAAATAACCTCGAAAAAAAGCTGTACGACCGGTCTAGTCTATCCGTTCAGCATCATGTATATATAACTGTGCAGAATCGAGAGGCGGTTTAGGCAAGCATCGGTGGGCGAGGGGTCAACCCAATCTCGGCCGCGGGCCAGATCTGGTCCGCGGCCGAAAGTCGGCATCACCCCACTCCCGAGCGCAATACCCGGATTTAAAGCAAGTCAAGAAAAGTGTACGATCAAGGACCAAAGCCTCCGCTAAAACTGGGCATTTACTAGAATATTTCTTTCGCATCGTTATCATTGCAGTTCCGACTTCTGGACCTCAAACAGCAAAGCATTTAGGCGAACGGCTGGGGTTTCGGATGATACCTTGAGGTACCTAAGCTGGGATTTAGTCAATTAGTCAAAGATAAGATAAGAGATATGGTCCCTCCCGACCTCTAACACGTAATTACCTCCAACCACCTCACAGCAACCCAGGCGTGCAATCGCTCCCACCTTCCAACTTTTTGCGAGTATCAAAGCCAAGTGTGGATAGAAGCATTCTTTGTGGTGATGCCTCGTATCATGTCCGCCCGTAGAAGTCAGCGCCAGGCGTTATCCTGCACTGAGTGTGCGCGTCGCAAAACTCGCTGCTCCAAGACCATACCCTGTTCTTCTTGCATCGATCGAAGGATTGCGACCAAATGCCATCGCGAAACCGTGATCGTTGCCAGCAAAGACAACAGTTTGGATTGTTCAGACCCTTTGCCCATGGAACCCTCAACTTCGGCGGAAAACACCCCCGCTGGTAGTCATCAGACTCGCCAGACTCGCCTGTCAAACCCGAACGGGTCGGACCATCGTCTCATGGGCAGCCAGATTTCTCTCGAACCGTCACATAGCCCTCAGAGGGTTACACCCGCTTTCAGTATTCAAGAGTCCACTCTGAACGTTCCTAGTACAGAAGCAACAGCGACTCTCGAGTTCCTTACCCATGGTCGTCGGAGCCTTCTTAAGTTGGCAGAAGCCCCACCAAGGCCATCAACAACTCGTGTATCAACTTCGCCAGGAAGCTTGTCGTGTACCACCACTGCCACTGGAATTGAGTTTGGCACCTCGGATGTTTCCTGGGATACCATATTGTCGCCCGACGAAGCCCGCCGCTTACTCGTCTACCACGAAGTGAGGCTTGCATGGATGCATAATGTAGTTCATATGCCAACCTTTTTGAATGAGTTCGAAGATAGCTTGAAAGAGGAGCCTCGAGACCGCACCTGGGTGGCCCTGTATCACGCATTGTTATGCGTAAGTCCTTCAACTCGGTAGCGGCAAAGGGGTCTTCTTGTTCGTTAACGTTTAAACTAGACGACATTCTTTCACATGGAAGAAGCAGAGATGGCTAGCTTGGGGATCAACGCCGCAGGTTCGATATGCTCTTGGATGCCCATACATCCGTCCGGGACCAATGTTCGAGTTTCTGACCTTTTCTGCAGCTAGATGGGACTCTGCTCGTGCCCAGTATGATATCAGTCTACGAAGCCTTTACGATGCCAATTTCATGGCCATCCACACTGTGTATTCCGTCCAGACAATCTGCATATTGATGCAAGTGGCCCACAACCTAGACCAATCTGATTTCATCAGTGTCATGATTGCCAGCGGCATCCGAATCTCCCAATGTCTCAACATGCATCGTCTCGGGCCAGATCGACTAGACCACGATCCAGCAGCAGAGATCACTCAAGAGACTTCCAAGAAAAGCCTGATAAATAGGGAGATCAAGAAGAGAGTTTGGTGGTTTCTTGTTCGCCAGGACTGGCTTCAAATCCCATACCAAAACACATACCTCCTCCATCCATCTCAATTCAATACACCACAAGCTCTCAACTGTCATGACCGAATGGAGTTTCCTGCGGGCGACGGGACGATAGTCGCCCAGCCAGGAAATGTTTACACCCAGAGCACCTACACGAATGCATTGTCCCAGAGTATGTGAAACACTTGGAGCACACACGGGCAAAAGCTGATAGAAACCACTCAACGCTAGTTGCTGTCATCATTTGGAAACAACAAGATCGAATGTGCCGAACCGGAAGCCCTGAAGAAAGCTCTGACGGACTGGAGAAGCTCTATGACCAGGTTCTTTGGGCCGATAGAGAGCTGAAGCAGCTCTACGTCAGCTTTCCTTCTTTCATTCGAGACCCTTCTCGACCCAACCTGTCGACACATGAACTACCATCGTATATCAGACAAGTCGCGTCAACGAAGTTGCTCTCTATAGCGCACAAGGTACGTGGCCAATATCCTGAAGACATTGAGAGCAATCCGCCCGGGAGCATAAAAGATCACAGCTAATTTTCTTAGGTGTTTTCTATTCATCGTCATTTCTTACTACGAAGCTTTACTGATAGACGCTTCTCGTATACTCAGGTATGTTTTTACTTCCTACTAAGACTGACACAGATGTGAACTGACTGTTCGATGACTCAGCTCTCGTGTTTAGCGATAGCTGAACGATGCATTCTTGACCAAGAGAACTGGCAGAATGAGCCATCGACCGTACCCATGAGACACATGTGGACCTTCTCAACTCATCTAGTATCGTGCTGCATTATTCTTGCACTTGCATCCATCTTCCGCCGCGAGAACGAACTATCTTACGATGGGTCAAAGGTCCATGGCTTGGCGAAGATTGGAAGAGATATGCTACAGAACCTGGAGTTCTCTAGCTCCATCGCGCGCCGCGGCGTCATTCTAATTGATTCACTCCTCAAGTTCGATGACACAAATCGTGATCTTGCCGGGGAAGCGCATTTAGACCTCAAGACTATTGTCCGAAAACTGCTGTCCATGGAAGTTTCGGAAGGTCAAGAGTTTGTCGAAGAACTGGGCGTTGAAGGAGTTCTGTTTCCATGGGACGCATATGACTTTGATATGGCAGAGCTCGATATTTTGGATGCAATGGTCGGCTAATTTCAGTGTCGAAACTTAGGGTCAGCATCTTCAACTAAGTCCGGAACAATCCGATGTTATTAGAGAGGTCAAATACTCATGCTAGGAGTTCAAGCTATCGAGCATGTATGTGCATGAGTCTTGAGTAATTCTTGGAAGGATATGGTATATAGATTCTGTTCATTTACTATCCTATATAAAATCTTTTATCTAATGACCGGATCCCTTGGTCGGGATTCACACAAACCCCTGTTGGTTGCAGGAGACTGTAGGGTCTCGTACTACAAACGATTCCCCGTTCTCACAACAGACTGGAACTCAGCTCAATCCTACGCCGCCTTGTTCCTAGCGTGGGACTCTAAGATGCCAGAGTTGGCAACACAAAGGCCCCTCACCTGCTCGAGGGCCCTCGGATCAATATCCTCAAATGGAACCCCACCATCTTTCAGCTCTCTGAGTGAACCGTAAGTTAACACCGATCGGATCTTGAGGTACTTCTCGTACGTCAGCGGGAGGGCCTCGGCGTCAGGCTTTTCGCTCTCGGTCAATGAGCTAAGAATTGCGTCTACCGGGCCATGGATTGTTTAGTAGGAACACCCCAAATAATGTAGAGAAGTCTCAGAGGCTCACCGTTGTTCGGATGGGTGAAGTAAACAATACTAAGCCGATCTTCCGCAATATCCAGATTTTTCCAACTGATCCTATGCATTGTTGACTTGAGAGCCCCATTGGACCAGAGCGACAACGCATCACCAATATTGACAACAACACCGCCAGGTATGACGGGGATGTGGAACCAGTTGTTCGATGGATCACGGATCTCGAGGCCTGACTTCTCGGTGAAAACAAAAGTGATGCTGCCCCAGTCGGTGTGCTCCGACAAGCGGGGGATTGCATCAGGTTTCTCGTCGAAGTGGGGGTACTTGATGAACTTCAACACGTTTCCTGGTGCGCTTTGCTTGTGGAACTTCGTGAGACTAGTTTTCTCGATGCCCAGTTGAGAGGCAAATGTGGAGATGATGGCCAGGCTGAGGCCGTAGCAGCTACTCTTGAAACTCTCGATATCACGGCGCTTGGACGCAGTCCACCAGTTGGGCAGGTTTGTGTGAGTAAGAACCGAGCCGGCTGGCATGCCAAAGCTTATGCCTTCAGATGCAGCAAATCTATAGGCTCAGTCCGATTAGATATTAGAGCTAATTATCAAGGGGTCAACCTCACGTGGTGAGCTTTTTGCCATCGTAGCCTGTTAGTGTGCCGTCAATAATGTGCGTTGCTTTTTGTTCCATGGGGAGGTCGAAGAACTCTTTAGACTATTTACGGGGAGTTGGTCAGACTTTTGATGCCAAAAAGAACCACAGGTTTCATGTTCTCGATTCGCCTACATACCATGTCAAACATATCGTCCACTTGGGGGATCCCGTGGTCGGTCAGGATGAAGAAACCCCAATTCTGGCTGGCCGAGAAGACTTCCCTAGCAAAAGCATCGAATTCATTATGATAGGAGGAGAAGCTTATGACGGGAAAGCTATTATCCGTGGCCATGATGAAAGAATCGTGATCAAAGGTGAAAAGACTGAAGGGTGATGTACTTGAGCGCGGTGCCCGTCAGCAAACATTACGAGTCTTGCGTTTTAACATATACTCATTTCATGCCCAATTTGGAACACCGAGATAAGACTTCGTATCAATGCTATCTGAAGATACGGGAATTTTAGTCGTTGGCCGCGGGTCACCACGGCCGAGTTTTGGGTCCAAAATATCTCGGCCGCGGGTCAGATACGATGCCCGGGCCAAAATGACCTCAGAGCAGACAATCAACATGGTGACTATCCAGCAACGTTCTCGGACGCAAACAGCAAATCTTGATACGAGGTTCAATCAGTTAGCGTAAAGTGTTCTCCGATCATATTCCCCCCTTGAGTTTCAACGGCTGGATTGACAACTATTATTTAAATGATGCGATAACAGACTCCGGCGTAGGTGTTGTCCTGACGTCGTGCTTGAAATTGTCGGCATTTCGTTTGAATAATTGACATTTTCATTGAAGATGGCAAACTTCTATGCATCCGGCAAAGAGCACTATCGTTTTATCAAGAGTCGGGTCTCCCAGATCCAGTGGAAACTGCCTGTTGAGGAGTCTTCACTTGCGCCCCCAGGCGTTGCATCGAACAAAGGTAAAAAAAAAAACAGCATCACTTGTATGCTACTAGATTTCTTTTTGAGCCATGTCGAGCTAATTATTTCTAGACCAAGAACCTATACCCCCCGAGCTCCGCACATGGACCAGTTGGGACTTTGCCACTTACTGGATGTCGGATCTGATTAACATCACGACCTGGCAGATCGCAGCCTCAGCCATGATTGTGGGACTAAGCACCTCTGATGCCGTGATCATAACCTTGCTTTCTGGTGTGTTGAATAGTATCCCGACCGGTGAGTGGATGCCACGCTCCTTTGAATCACCAACTCTTAGGTGCTGACACGGACCCGAAGTGATGAGCGGCGCGCCGGGAACGGACTACCACATCCCATTCCCCATCGCTGTCAGGTCGAGCTACGGATACTATCTCGGTTACTTTGTAGTCTTCACCCGTGGCGCTTTGGGCATTATATGGTTTTCTGTGAATTGCTGGATCGGTTCGTTCGCAGTGACTGAGGTAAGCATCCATGTTGCATCAGTCAAGAATGATGGAAGTAATCGACATCTTGACACGAACCAGACTGTAGCCGCTCTATGGCCAGAATACCGGCTGATTGAGAATCATCTTCCTACATTCGCCGGTATTACCAGCTTGCAGATGATGTCTTATCTCTTGTTCTTCCTCATTCAAGTACCATTCTTTTGCATTCCACTGCATAAACTCAAGTAAGACCTTTTCTAGGAATTTGTCACTAGATCCTCCAGCGCCTTGGCTCTACGCGTGTAATTGACATGTTGCACAGAACGCTATTCTTCTGGAAAGCAGTGTTGCTCGTTCCTACTTCCGTGGGCACCGTCATCTGGATATGCGCCCGGGCTGGTAATGTGAAAGATATCTTTTCGCAGGAGGCTACCATTCACGGGTCTGCACGAACGTGGATTTGGCTGTCGACTTTGTGTGCCAATACCAACTCTTGGCTCACGATGACCATCAATATGTCGGACTACTCTAGGCTGAGTAAAACCAGGTCAGTGGCTATGCAACCTAATCAAATCAAGGTTACAAGATTCCTAACACTCATGATACCACCCCGCAGATATGCGCCGTTTTCGCAGATCCTTACGATCCCTATCGTCAAAACTATCTATGCAATCCTCGGCATAGCTACGGTCGGCGCCGGCCGCGCCCTCTATGCGCGCGATATCTGGAGCCCGGTCGAATTGCTGTCTCTCTGGACCGGGTCTGGCGGCCGCTTCCTCGCCTTCTTGTGTGGCTGCCTCTGGATCCTGTCGCAGGTCTCCTGTAATATATCCGCCAACGCGATACCCTTCGGTCACGATGCCATGAATATTCTCCCGTCCTACATCAACGTGCGGCGAGGTTCTTTCATATGCTTAATCATCGGAACGTGGTGTCTGGCGCCGTGGAAGCTAGTTAGCACCGCAGCGCAGTTCCTCCAGTTTATGAACGGGTATGGCAGCGTTATCTGCTGCATAGTCAGCATCATGATCACGGACTACTGGTTCATCAAACGGCGCAAGTTGGACGTTCCGGGCCTGTACGACCCCCACGGACGGTACCGCTACTCTGCGGGGTTCAACTGGCGTGCGGTCGTTGTCCAGATTCTGTTCATGGGAATCACGCTTCCAGGAGTGATCGGTCAGGTCTACACTTCAATCTCACTACCAGAGGTCCTTCGTCGCATTTATGATGTGAATTGGTTTGTGTGCACATTTCTGCCGGCCCTCTCATACTGGGTCCTGTGCATCGTATGCCCGGCACCCGAGAACGTCAATTACCAAGGGGAACTACAAGTCATTGAGGCAGAATCTCAGGAGATAAACTTTGTAAACACCGGCATATTTACAAGCTTAGGTCTTATCGAGGGGCAAGAGACAAAACTGAGATAATCTATTTGTAAATATCTCATGTTGGAGTCGAAGCAGGGAGCTCCAATGCCTCTTTCCTACCGTTACTGCATTGGCAGACCGCGGGGACGCAGTATCGAGGGTCGGAACTGAGCGTCATTCGTTAGCTATGTATAAAAGCAAGATTTACCTTACGTGGCGCGGCGCATTCAGAACTACTGAAGCATGTGGGTCGGAAAAGGTGCAGAAAGGGTTTTATTACCGATCTAATGGAGGCCCGGTGAATTCAAAGGCGTCGTCGGATCTAACACCTGAGGGGAAGAGTAGAGTACAATTACTTACTGCGTACGTTTGGCTCCGAGAACTCCTTCAAACTGCATGCCAATCTCCAATAAAGAATCAACCTCGACCTCAATGGCCACGTCACTGGTTCAAGGCGCCTCAATATTGCGTAAATGATGCAGCCAAGGGTTATTATGCACAGTGAAATCAATAGTATGCAGTTTGGCCGTGGGGATAAGGCCTACTAGTTCCAAGATCAAAAATAGGGAGACCATATCTAGAAATAATTTGCACTTTGCAGTGTTTTTGTTGGCACGGGCTGTTTTCAATTGGTTATTCCCGTTGTATTTAGTACTGTGCTTCTATTCGCTTGTAAACGACTCGGGCATAAGGCAGCCTCGATTTATATAGGGTCCTCGGCGTACTCTGTTGACGTAGCTCTCATTGCTGGTGGTGTCACCACATCAAGATTGTCTACAGATCAATTCCCACGGTGCTCAAGATGACTGCAGGAAAGACCCATGCCTAGTAGCTTCCTCTAGGCGGGATTAGGGCTATGAGAAACTGCGAACCTATAGCACCCAGACCGGATATGACCAATAGCACGTACACTGGAAGTAGGTGTAAGATGAAACCTTCGACAATGCTAAGTGTGAGACCAGAAACGCCGAGGGGCGTATACCACGTTACCACGTGTCATGGACTTGCAGTCATGATGTCTTGACAGTAACGTGTGCTAAATATAGAAAAGATCCCCCAAGTGTCGTATAGCAGAAAGAGGGTCTCAAGAAGAGGGCTCATCCCAGGTGTTGTGAGGACCGAAGCCGGTAAGAGAGGTTGAGAAGAGAGGCGCGTTTCGATATAGGTGGATTAGCCTGCAGCAAGGAGGGACAAGACACCAAGTAAAAGACGAATTGAAAGATATGGTGTTCGCCATCCCGCAGGGGCGTTTGCTGATTGTAAGATAAAGAATATGACAAGGATAAGGCCGCACGAAATGGTTATGGCACCAGGGTAGTCAAATTTGGCTTCGATTGGGGGTTTGGTCTGTTGAATACAGACGCGGAACGAACAAGACTGAAGTTAACAATGCCACTGCTCTAAGATTGGCGCCAATCCAGAAGTAAAACCCCTATAGCTTGGACTGACCCACGATCCCTGCCACAAGAATGCCGACAAAAAAACCAAGTATTGCTGAAGTGCCGTTCACTATGTGCGGAGACGAGCTTCTTGCGGGGCTCAGAATGATGTAACGACCCCATGAGCATGGCTCCGGTAGGCAAAGATGCCGCAACGCCTAGTCCTTGTAGAGCACCACAGAAATTTAGCATCAGCGGATTGATGCTGAATCCGCTTATTACACTCCAGGCAAGAAGCTAGGGAAGACAGCATATGACGACGTGATATCCCCCTAACCCCTCAACATATCCCTAAGACTGCCGAAGATGCGTAATTTGCTGGCGATGACGAGGGAATGACGATCGCTGGCCACACACTGGATCCTTGTGGAATATCAAGCTCCCTAATCAGCTCTGGGAGGATGACGGTCAAGCCCGAGATGAAGTATTGCATCAAGAATTGGGACATGGGTACGCTGGAGATGGAGAGTATTCTATCGCAGCGCCACACGTGGTGCTGCCCACTTGCTGCCGGACAATACTGCTTACCGCGAGACGGCAGCCCGCTTCGTACGGTGTTGAGATACGACCCCTTAAGGGTCCATCACTAAGAAGAATCAAGCCGTTTTCAACTGTACATGTATATGTCTTCCAATTAAATCCTCTCTTCGTGGTATATTCCGCTACAGCACTTTGTCAAGATCGGGGGAAGCTCACGGCCGAGGCGCTCAACGCTTGCTTGAAAGACTCATCAACTGCAGATACATGTTCGGCAGCGTCATGCAGCTGCGGACGCGGGCGGCCATTTGGTAAGGGACAAACGATTTTCGCCAGAGTTCTAGAGCTACGACCGCTCGACGATAAAGCCAGTGTTGTTGGCATCTCGCTGAGGGCGCATTGAGACGAATGTCGAGGTAGGCATGAGCGAGCCATACTTTTTGGGATATTGGCCACTGGATGTCTCTAATGAAAAGCAATCGCTAAAGAAGAGCAGAACAAGAAACCTCACATGATACTAGATAAAAGAGACTACACGTTGTAAATCTTCACAAAGTAAAGTGGTAACCATGCTTATTTGTAATCAGGACATTTGACGAGGTGGAACTCCAGGATTTGAGGCTGATTGATAGCCATCATCAGAAGTTGGCCAGGCCAATACCTGTGGCAGTCTAGCTAACCTCTCAGAGAGACGTCGGGGAAAAAAAAACGCTAATGCATGACTTGTGTCTTGGCTGCCTATGTTGTACTAGCTCAACTAATCTGCCTGCCTTCCAATTGGCCCAAGATTTATCGCGCTTTCGTGTTAGATCAAGATCCCCATATCAAAAACGGCGTCCTTGAGCCAAGTCATCGGATCGGAAATCACCGTTGTTGCCCTTGTGATATCAGAGCGTGTTGTTATCATTCACTCAGATCCCGATGTATCAGCGGAGATTAAGATTATTCAGCAGTTTAGACTTGTATATATTTATCGGACTGGCGTTGATGAAGAGGAGTGCGCCTCATCATGACATTTATCTAATCCTTACATTTCTTTTTGATTTTCCACCACAAAGATCTTGACTGTTCAATCCTTCCAGATGCCACCAATTGTCCACTGTGTCCGTCACGGACAGGGATTTCACAATGTTGGCGGTGGATGCTACACTCTTCTTGACCCTTACCTGACCACCTTGGGCGAAGAGCAATGCATGACCTTGCGACAGACGACCTTTTCAGACCAGTCGAAGATATCTCTCATCCTTGCTTCTCCGCTGCGCCGAACACTTCAGTCCGCCTATCTAATGTTTCAGCCAGCACTGAAGACCAACCGGAAGTGTCACCCCGAAATCATTGCCATTCCTGATGCCCAAGAAACCTCGGACGACCCGTGCGACACTGGAAGTGATACAACAATCCTCTACAATGTAGTAACGGAAACCAAGTGGCCTGTCAACCTTGATCTGGTTGAGGACAACTGGAACTTGAAGGATTTGGGGACTCGCTATAGCCCAGAAAGCAACGCAATAGCAGACCGAGCTCGCGAAGTCCGTATCTTCATTCGGCAGAAGATTCGCCAACTGGCAGAGCGAGGCAATGCGGATCCTCAAGTTGTGCTCGTCAGCCACGGGAGCTTTCTACACTACTTCACCAATGATTGGGAGGATGCTTGGCTCAATCCTGGAACGGGATGGCGGAACTGCGAGACCCGGTCCTACATCTTCAAGCAAGACGTGATGAAAGATATCGATGAGGAGGCGATGATCACGGAGACGATGGACAGTCGACTGAAGAGGGGAAAGTGCAACCCTATGCCGGGCTGGGATGAGCAAGCGGTTTTATTTGAGCAGGCCATGGAGAACTGGGAGAAATAGGGTCTGTAACCCTAACCCTAAATTAGTCCGGATTCAGAAACGAGTGTCACTGCATAATTAAGACAAAAAGCGAGACCATACAGGCGCAAATGGCTAGCTCTTTCGGGTTGAATGATTTCACAGCTCGGCTTCAGCAGCGCACATACGTGATGTCCACTGAAAAATTGGAATTTTACCACCCCCCTTGACGCTCATTGTGCCTTTGCTGAAGACTCCAATGGTTTGATTGCAGGTAGAGGTAGACGTGTCTCGTCCTTTCAAGACAAAAGAGCGGGTTGCAGACTATATAGAATCGTGATAGACTGCCCACGTACTATGTATCATTTCCGTAATACGCAGTAGGATCTTCTATCAGCCCTTCCTCTGAGGCACTGGCCTTCATGAACACCCAGATTGGATGGTTCTGAAAGCGCCTCTTATGGCTAGTGGGTGGCTGGCACTGCGTGGAAGTGAGCGTTGCCGGTAGCCTCCGTAACACTAGACGACGAGAGGGACTGATAGGAAGAAGCGATGAGGCCCCAAAATCAGTGCCCCACACTGCGGGCGGCACGAGTGACGCACGAGTGAGAGTTTAGCTGTTTACTCAAACTCGGCAAGATAAGAGTACCCCGCACAGCAAAGGAAAACCCCCTAAATCTCGAACCTGTATTCACGCTCAGCACGACATCTTCTTCTTCTTCTTCTGCAAATACGAATGGCCATTCCACTCTTTCAATCTGGAAACCTATCTCTTCTCCCTTTAAGATTGAAGTCAAGCGATGAATTCAAGATCGGGAGCATGCCATAACTGTAGGCGTAGCCGCTTGAAATGTGACCGATCCGTTCCGCACTGCCTGAAGTGCACAAGTAGAGATCAAAAGTGTCTTGGATATGGCGTCTTATTACGATGGGGAAACGGAGTGGCGAGTCGTGGCAAATTGGCGACCGATGCATCCGACAAAACCAGGCAGATCTCCGAAAGAGATACCATCTCAACTCTACAGGCATCGTGGGGTTCTATCGAGTCTACACGCCAGCTACCATCCGCCAGTTCGGAGCCGAAATCTTCTCATTCACTACCTCGTTCGTTGATAGACCCGCTTGCGGAAGGTCTGGACTATCGATCGAGGAGATATATGGCCTATTGTACGTCGCATTCGCCTTTCCAGCTGCTCATCGTACTGATACTGTTTGTTGAAAGTCGCAAGTAATGTTTGCAGGGACCTCGTTCTCTATGACATCCCGAACCGAAACCCGTTCCGCCAGCTGATTGCGATTGCGTATAAGCAGCCAATCTTAATGGAGACCATCGTCGCTAATTCAGCTTTGCACATGTCAAACACTTATCAACGGCTGCCACAATCTTCAGTTATGTCAGCCATGATAGTCTCGACTCAGAGGAGCACAAGCTTACGGAGATCTCTATTAACGGAGCGATGCGGGCCGGACCTGCCGGAGATTATCCACGACGCACTTATGGCTAAGCAGCAGGCACTCGGTATGCTTCAGTCTGCTCTGGAAGATATGGCCACAGTAAACGTTGATTTGATCCTCGCGGTGGTGCTCCTCCTCATTTCGTGCGAGCTTATAGACTCTGGGCAAGGCAACTGGATGTTTCACATCAGTGGTGCCAGAGTGATCATTGAGAAGCTCATTGCAACTGCAATGGCAACGGAGACTGCATGGAGTCCACTTTGCAGCAGTTTGATATCAAACTGCTTAGTGTAAGTCGCCATGTCTCCTGATCGATGGCTGCTGACTTGATGTACACTAGATACGATCTCTTTGGGTCATCATTCGCAAATTCTTACTCACCACGAAGTTGGCTATCAATGACTACCTTATCACTGCTACAAGATGCAGAAGGCAATCACTGCTCCTCGTTTCCAGCTGCTCTGCTTCCTTTGATACAAGCAGGTTCTCAACTCTTAAGGACTGATGACACTATCACGTCTTCAGATGATTTTATCAAATCAAAACGGCACAACGCGCTTGGTCTCTTGCAAGCTGCAAGGTCGTTCAGGCCAACTGCCTGGGCAATTGACTTACAGTCACGCTCACCAGCCGCAGACATGTTTCAGCGAATTGAAATTGCCTCGGCACACAGGGCAGCTGTCTGTATCTATCTGTCCCGCGTTGTTCTTGCTTTATGGCCTAACGCAGTACTTCCGGACAATCTGGAAATTCTAGCAGAGGAAGTGATCACCCACCTTTTGAGAATTCCTCCGGGAGATGCTCTATTCACAGCGACCGCGTGGCCAGCTTTCGTTACTGGTCTGGAAACGTTTGATTGTATAAAGCGTGCCTGGGTTGTGAGAAGATTCCATGATCTCTGGGAAGCTGAGCCTTGGGGGCTTACGAGAGACGCACTTAAAACCTTAGAAATGATTTGGGATAAGAGGCATAGTGAAGATACCAGAGAGAGTAGGAACTGGATCGAGGACCTTAAAGAAATAGGGGTAGACTGGCTAATTGTATTATGAAAGGCCTCAGGTCAAGATTTTTGATTTTTACTCACGGACACCTGTTTAGTAGTCAGCCATAGACATTCAGCGTCTACGATAGAGTTAGTTATAGTGTCTTAGGTCAAATCAGTGCATTAGAGCCGCTAGTTGGTCATTTCCCAATGGATGGTCCGATAGCCCTGCAGTCTACAAATTCAGGAGGATACTAAGAGTACAAGTCGCCCATGTCGGATGCCGCCGGATTTGTATTATCCTACTGTCGGAAAAACATGGCAATATTAAATAATACAAGTCATCAAATTCTCTCAATAGTCACCTGAAATGACACGTCCGTCAAGAAACTGCGTCCACCTTCTAATATACGGAAGCTGGTCTGGCGTAACATGATGTCCATCAATATCGTAGCGGTTGTCAACCAGCTCTTCCATCCTCGCCATCCTACTCTCGGTCGCTCTCTTATTGCCCAGGGTGAGACGCTCCAGCATCAGCCACAGCCACTGCGCGACGTCATGATGGCCAGCCGCAGCGGCTTCGTCGGCAGCGGTGTGGCCGTTGCCGTTCTTCCTGGCCAAGAGGACAATGGCCACCATGTACTCGGGGACGGATATTTGTTCGGGATCGTGTTCGAACTCCCCTAAATCTTCGCAAACAGGCGCGTAGGCATCGGACCCAGACTCGTAGGAGGGTTGATTCCATCCTGGATGCAGCCAGAAAACGCGCCAAACTCCGTTCACGACGTCTAAACGGCCAGTGCGAGCCGCAACGTGAAAGACAGTATCCCCAGCCTTGTTTCGGAGGAAAAAAGGGGCTCTGAAGCACGTCAAGAGCCAGGGATTGGCGCTCCAGTCTCTGCCAAAGCTCTCGATGTGGCTGCCGAGGGCACTAATGTTTCGAGCAGAAGCAGCGACGTGGACGGCAGTGTCACCGGTAGTGGGGTCGGTCACCCAGCGTAGCAGCTGGTCGAACTCGGCGTTATGAGGTAGGATCGCGTCGTATTGAAAAAGAATTTCCCGGGCGTCTTCCTTGCGAAAGAGGTCGAGAAATCTCCGTACGGCCTCCGGACTGAATCCCTCGGGAGGAGGTGAGGTGAGGATCTTCTCATCGTCGGAGTCGTGTTCGGCCGGCTCAGCCATGTTGCCGGTACTCTAAACTGTGTGGACCGCAGAGATGAGGTAAGGGATAGCGAGGGAGTAACGTGAGCCCGAAATATAGCAAATGAGTGATTCGGCTCTCATTGAGGGCTGAATTTGGGAACATTGGCTGCCTGACCGTGCCGCAATGCGCCTCTTTAAGTAGAAGTAAGTGACGGAGGCCGCGGTGTTTTATTGGTCACAGAGTGTATGCAAGGACGGTCACGTTGGGGCACCAACGTTCCCGAGGAAGATGGACCCGACGTGCCAGGATGGTCTGCCAAGTATACCTTGTCTTAGGGGTTCAACTTTAAGGTAAGAGACTTGGCTTTTTCTCCACTCGTGGGCCCAGGGGTCGCTCCGTACCCCCCCTGTTGGGTGACATTCACATAATCAAGGAATTTCTCCAAGTCATGTCCAACAGATCCAGAGTTCAGCTGTCCATAAATGCGCGATATTATGGCACGGGCCCGGGGAACGTAGATACCTTCAATTTGCGGCTTTACAGATCGTGCACGCTAAGCCAAGCTGGACCAGACTTGCAATAAGGAACAAATGAAGAATAAAGACAAGGCGATTCAAAAAGCGATTCAAGTTTTCGTGTGTTCAATCAATTACTACGTATATTTGCCAGCGAGCAGTCTTCACATCCAACAACAGTGAACAGCTGCTTCCAAGTAACAACTTCCCCTCGCCCCTTAACTGATTTACTGTTCGCCCAAATCAAAGCGTTTGTCACTGAGGTACTGAAGAGCCTCCTCTCCAGTGATGCCCTCCGGTAGCTGTCCCTCAGCAAGCCGGCAGCAGTAGCCAGGGAATTGGGTGTTGCCTGCGGAAATGTATCCCCATGGCGGATCGCAACCGTGGCGGCCATTGTTGAGGTTGTCTTGGTTGATCTGGTAGATGGCACCTACAGGTTCTGTCAGCATGACCTTTGTCGTCAAAGGTACGTAAGTGCCTCTTTCTTACCGTTGCTGCATTGGCAGACCGCGGGAACGCAGCAGCGAGGAGCGGAGCTGAGAGTCATCCGTCAGCCATGGGCAATAGCAGGAGTTAGTTCGACCCGTAGAATGCATACAAGTAGTAGCAGCCACTAGCCGTCTGTCGCCGTTCAAGCCCTACATTGACAGTGTGAGCCACTGGAGTCGCGTTGACCTGTGTAACCACAAGGGCGAAAAGAGAAAGGGCGGACGTGAACTGCATTTTGATGTTGCAGGCTTTGGGGCTTATGAATGAGGATGCTTGGAAGTTGGATTTATTTCGCACTTCTTATAGACTATTGCTCTTATATAGAGACTGTTGATTCAGTTTGTGTACATGTGTTCCTTTATTTCAATTCTCCTTCCTTTTCCGCAACCAAAGTTCTTTCTCCTTGTTAGTGGAAGTTCAAAATGTCACCCGGGCTGAGCAGAATGTATGGACAGGCCATATTACCAGCATATATCCTTGACCGACTGAAAGTGGGCTCATCACTGTCTGTTCCAGAACATTTTCAAGATGCAGTTTGATGACCAAACACCCCTCCCCTGTACTCTTATCTTTTAGGCCGGATATGGCATTCCCACACCCAATGCGGATGAGCAATAGCCAGGGAAGTCGGAAGTCAAGACAGCCACACCTTGGGGAGCGAGCCGAGATGCATCTTGGCTTGACACGCCCTGTGGCATGATTTGAAGAAAGCCGTCATAACTTTTGATATGCAATGCGGCCACCTCGCTGATTGAATAATTCTTACGAACCAGTGGCTGGGGTTATTCTCAACCCATCCCAGCTCTAACCGCATATTCGCATCGCAACCTACCGCAGGACCCCGGTTCCAACAGCATATCTGCGTCGAGACCTGCCAGCCACACCTCCCCTGCACCAACAGTTCCAAGGGCTTGTTGGTACAGAAACTTTCGGTGCAGAAACGAAAAGATGTTGCCAAGCAGAATCCAGCCGACTTTGGGAGATGCGTCTCTCTTGATGCACCGGCGCAGGTGCAGAAAGGGAAGGTGGGTTGGTCTAAAATGTTACTGCGCGCAGCAGACTTGAAATGATTGCGCCCTCCAACACATCGCGATCTTCTACAATGTCAACAGATTATCAACGTATCACCACTCTGAACCCATGAGAGCTGCCCCACAGGCTTGCCCAGGCGAAGAAATAATAGGATTCTGTTCATCCGGCCCCGGCTATGATACGTTCCCGCGAGCTCCAAGGGGCCCTGGATCAACATCCCGATCTAGCCCTGCGGCACGAAATAGTGCCAGTGGATGAACCTTGTGCAAAAGGAAAGTTCACAGGCCCTGCAAGCCAAAAGGCTTTTGAGCTCCCCCTGCTCGTTGACCAGGCTGTGGCTCGCGGCGCCTCCCGAAGCGATCCGGATGAGCCTATATCGACTTTGGGCCTAAGCGGGGTAAAACCAAAGACACCGTCCTAGAACAAAATCCACTTTCATATACCAACGCAGTTCACAATAGCCTGCCCTCCTCTCGCCCAGTCCGCGTGAGCCTATTCAACCCCTGCAGACCGTTTCTGTGCCGCATGCACTGCTCGAAATGACGGCGCTGATCACTAAAACGCAAGGAAAGGCGACCTCATCGTAGCAAACCAGGATAGCAACGAGTTCGACAAGACGAAGCTAGTCACCTCCTGCCGCAACCGTGGACCACTTCGCTCGACGATATCATGTTCAATAGACATTCAGATCCTTCCGATGTCTTGTATAGTGCCATAGCCATGCCGTCCTGCATGTGCCACCTTAGTACGTAATGGCCCGAGTCGAAAACCACCCGCGCTCCAACCTCCTGGCCAGCGGGCGTGAATGAGCCTAAAAGATCGCTTATGACCGTAATCGGCAAGTTCGCCCGGGCGATTGGATCATCCTTGTTGGAAGGCTCTCACCGATGTCTTTGTATCTGAACGTAAGCAAGGGACTTATGATGCTGTACAATATGGGCATGTTGTTTAGTTAGGCCACGTCAACAGATAGATCACGCCAAATCGTTATCAACTCGTATCGTTATCGTTCTCGGAATCACATTACACGTTTAAGTCTTACTTCCAACAGGATAGAGGGATATATATGTAAATATACCAAAATCGAATAATTCAACCTCAGAGCGAAAGACTATCATAGAGATGGGCACATCCACTCGCCCACCTTCTCCTTAACTCTAGCCCACATACTTGAGTCCGTGGCAGATCAGCTCACCATTGTCATTGCCAACAATATCGTCTGTATCAGAGTCAACAAGGGAACCGATGCCACCAGAGCCCAGAAGCGTAGGTAATCAGGAGCAAAAAAGCACTTACTCAGCTCGATGATGGAGAAGACGTCGTTGTTACTGCAGCCCCGGCAGGTGCACTGATACCTCGTGCCTATCAGCTGGCAATACCTCGCGGAACACGAGTTGCTGTAGGATCCCCTAAGAGAGATTAGACTCTTTAGCACATGATGCCAGAAACGACCGCGGTGATGTGAGCCGAGGAGAAGCAGAGGGGTAATCCAGTTTGAGGGGGAGCTCACCTTGACGCGCTCACCAGACGGCCGCAAGAGTTGGCTAGGCACAGGTCCAGGGAAACATAGCTAGTCTTCCACGAGCCGTCGATAGCTCTGCAATTAGCGTACAGGAACGTCGGGTAGACGTTGCTCATGCTAAAGGAGTTGCAAGTCGCGGCCATCCCCCCCATCAGAGTCATCGTCTGCCGGGCGGAAATGTTGGCCGAGGTTTCCTCGGGCAAGACAGCAGCAGTGGCATAGAGAGGCGCCAATAAGGCCGCAGCAAAAGCGCTAAGAAGACCATTGGTTCTCATGATGAAATGTTGGTGGTGGGAGGAGAAACGAGAAAGGTTGGGCTACTGCAGTCTTGGTGTGAATGTTGAAAGACAAAGCGGCGGATAATGGCTTAATGTAACTTGCACTTAGTACATAGCTCAATAAATGAGAGTGGAAAAATCTAGGCTAGAGCCCAGCTGCCTAATGTGGCTCTTCATCCGCCCGGATAGTTTGTAAGAGCGAGGCGCGGTTGCGAGCCAACGGCGCATTTATCACACATATTAAGTAACTAACTATCCCGAGGCCCCTAGCATATCTTAGCGCGACTTGAACTCTCCCGGATGAAGGTGTGCTCTTCTAATGTCATGCTTCACCCCCTCCCCTGGCGAGTATAGGTACATGTAGGCTTTATTAGGAAACGAACATGATCACCTGAGTTCCCAGACCGCTTCTCTAAGCCCCCGGAAGTTTGTCGAAATAAAAGTTCCTATCTCTAAAAAGGAGTCATTACCTTACAACAGCCCTCATTTTTCTCAAAGCGTTCGCTACGGCAGGATAGAGTTAGAATGATTGGCTATTATCTACTTATTAGCAAATCTAGTTCTAAGCCCGGCTAAAAAAAGTGAATGCTCCGTGGTCGGAGTTATGGGTTATGGCCCTGGCCGTTATCCCCCGGCGATTAGGCCCTAATTAGTAGCGGGCCCGGCGGGGGGCGCTCGGGCTAGGGGTCGATTTTTTAAAATAGAATCGTCTAGGATAGGGCCCGGGCAATAATTAGTTAGAAACAAAACCCTAACTAACCTAACCCGAGCTAAAAAAAAAACCCCTAGGGTTAAGATAGATATATAATAATACGTAACGATATTATTAATATATTAACCCGTAATAGTACTTAGTTAACTAGTTAAATAAGTTAAGTAATTAAAAAATAGAATAAAAAAAGCTAATATAAAAATAAAAGAAAATAAAAATAACGTACTAAGTTATTAATAAAATATAATTATAGGGTAGAGGAGCTAATAAATAAATACTAGAGCTTTAAGTAGCCCCGCTTTGATTTAATAGGACCGAACGACCTAGCTAGCTAGCTAACTAATTAGCTAATTAAATAAGATTTATTAAAGGGGGGACCCGCTAACAGATTAGTTAAAAAGATTAAAGGGGTAGTATAAGCTAATATTATATAGCGTAACTAAGTAAGATTATAGTTTTACCTATTTTTATATATATCGTTTTTAAATTATATTACTTATATTATTATAAAGTAAATACTTTATATAAATATACTCTTATTACGATAATATTTATAACCCGTCCCGTATTATATTATATTAATAAGGATACTAGCGCGGGCTATTCCCTTCTTTTTTTTTTTATTTTTTTTTTTTTTTTTTTTAAGGGTTAGGGATAGTAGTGGGTATTAATATAGCTTATAATAACGGGTAGTACGTAAAGTTTCGTATTATCTCTATCCTTATTTTATATAAGTACGGCTAGATAATTAGCTAAGAAATAATATAGGAATAAAAATAAGTTCTATAACTAGTTCTCCGTAGCTTTTTTATAAATATATAAATTAGTAAAAGGCCCCTATATATACTACGCCTTATTATTAAAAAAAAGGAAGAAAAATAAAATAAGAAAAAGGGAGAGTAAATAGGATAAATAGCGCAATTTTAATATAAAAAGGATATAAAGTAAGTAGCCTAGTACCTATTTACTTATATTACTTTTTTTAAAAAAACTTAAGCCTCCTTATTTACTTACCCACCCTTTTAACTAGTACTATAAAATAAGATACTATCTTTTTTAACTAGCTAATAAGCTTATTTTATATTAGTTTATTATTTAACCCTACCTATTCTTAGGGTTAGGGTAGTTTAGTAATACGAAAGTAGTAGTATATTTTAGCTACCCCCCTCTCCTCTTAATTATATTAATAAGTATACCCCGGGGTTAGGTAGCCCGAAGAGGGAGGGGTAGGGAGGATATATTATATTTAATAAGTAAAATAGAGGATATTAACGTAAATAAGTATATTCTTATAAAAAAATATTATTATATATTCTTATACCGCTTTTACTATTTTATTATCTGGCCCGGTTTTAGTATTAAAAATTATTTTTAGTATACGTACTAAGTAAAAGGGTAAGAGTTATAGGAGATTAAGTATTACGTAGCTAATATAAACCTATTAGACCCCTTTTACGTTACCCTATTTAGAGATAGATCGGTCCTAATAGGTAGGTTAAATAGTATTTAAAGTTATAGGTATAAGTAATACTATCAAGTAGGCTAAATGGGCTTAGGTTTAGGAAATTTTAAGAATTTCGCATACTTTTTAGTTAAAAATAAGGCATATTTTAAAAAAGTAAGAAATTTATAAGAGTATTATTATATTATAACTACCTAGTTATTACTTTTTATTAAATTTAAATAAGTTAATTTTTTTAATTATAAAATATAATATTACTTTACTACCGTAATTATTAAATATTACTTTATTACCATAGCTACTTGATAATACTTTACTACCGTAGCTACTAAATATTACTTTACCACCGTAGCCACTTAATATTACTTTACTACTATAGCTACTTAATATTACTTTACCACTATGGCCGCCTAATATTACGAAATAAAAGTTCTTTTAATAATTTAATATAAATAAAAATAAGTAAATAAGTTTACGGAATTTTTTTAGCTATTAAGTAATTACTAAAAGAATTAAATAAAACTTAAGAAATTCTTTTATTTAATAAGTAATAACTAAAAAATCTTTTGTTTAATAAGTAATAACTAAAAGAATTAACTAAATTCTTAGTAATTCTTTTAGTTACTATATAATAAATAAAAGAATTAACTAAAATCTTAATTATTCTTTCGTTCGCTAGGTCATAAATAAAAGAATCGAGTATTTATAAATTCTTTCGTACGCAAAGTCGTAAATAAAAAAATCGAATACCTACAAATTCTTTCGTTCGCTATATAATAAACAAAAAAATCTAATATTTATAAATTCTTTCGTTCGCTAGGTTATAAATAAAAGAATCTAATACTTATAAATTCTTTCGTACGCGAGGTCGCTAATAAAAGAATCTAATACTTACAAATTCTTTTATTTACTATATAATAAATAAAAGAATTAACTAAAATCTTAAATTAACTAAAATCTTAAAATTCTTTTATTCGCTATATTATAAACAAAAAAATTAACTAAAATCTTAAATTAACCAAAATTTTGAAATTCTTTCGTTTACTAAGTCGCGAACAAAAAAATTAAGTATTTATAAATTCTTTTATACGCTATATAATAAACAAAAGAATCTAGTACCTATAAATTCTTTTATTCACTATATAATAAATAAAAAAATCTAGTACTTACAAATTCTTTTATTTGCTATATAATAAACAAAAGAATCTAATACCCATAAATTCTTTCGTTCGCTAAGTCATAAATAAAAAAATCGAGTACCTATAAATTCTTTTATTCGCTAGGTCATAAATAAAAAAATTTAGTACCTATAAATTCTTTTATACACTAGGTCATAAATAAAAAAATTTAGTATTTACAAATTCTTTCGTACGCTATATAATAAATAAAAGAATTAACTAAAATCTTAATAATTCTTTCGATTACTATATAATAAATAAAAAAATTAATTAAAATTTTAAAATTCTTTTGTCCATTACGTAGTAACTAAAAGTATTAAGTAAACTTATAATATTCTTCTATCCGTTGCGTAATAACTAAAAAAATTATATAAACTTACTATATTCTTTTATCTATCACGTAGTAACTAATAGAATTAAGTTAACTTATAAAAATAATAGCCTAACGTAACGTAACGTAATTCTAATTAATTAAATTTAAAAGCGATTAAACTTAAAATAAAGCTAAGATAAATAGAATATAGGTTATAAAAAGCACCTACTATTAAGAAAACTTTAAAAATTAATAAAAAGTGTTTTATTAAAACATAACGACGTATATTTTATTTACGTTATTATGGGCGTTATAATACGTAAAAAGTAGTTATTATTTTTTAAAAGTTAAAAATAAGAGCGAGGTATGCGTTATAATAAAAAACGCTTATGAGTATAAATCTTAGTAATTATATTATTAGTATTACGTAAGATATAGTCGGGCTACGGGAGGCTAAGTAGCTATAACTACGTTTTATTAAATTAGAAGTCCCCTTTAACCGCAATATTATATTTCCCTTAAGAAGACTTATTGTCTAAGGTAACCCCCCCCCCTTCTTAACGTAAATAAGAATATATATAAGGCTAAATAGTCTTATAACCCTAACACCCTTCCTAGCTATTATATATAAATAAAATAAAATATAATAAAGTTAATTAATATAGTTATAATAACAATAAGCTTACAAACATAGGATTAGATATTTTAAAACAAAACCTCACAAATATCTCATTTACTAAATACTAATTATAAGAATTAGCTAAAATCTCAGAAAATTAAGGTTATTAAGTAGTAACCGAAAGAATTGGGCAAAATCTCGAAGTTCTTTTAATCGTTAAATAGTAACTAAAGGGTTTGAGCAAATTTATAATATTCTTTCGTCCGTTAAATAAGTAAATTCTAAAAAACGTTTCGGCCGTTAAATAATAACTAAAAGAATTAACTAAAATCTCAGTAATTCTTTTAGTCGCCATATATTAAATAAAAGAATTAACTAAAATCCTAGAATTCTTTTATTCGCTACGTAATAAACAAAAGAATTAAGCAAAATCCTAAAATTCTTTTAGTCGCTATATATTAAACAAAAGAATTAACCGAAATCTTAAAATTCTTTTATTCGCTATATAGTATACAAAAGAATTAAGCAAAATCTTAAAATTCTTTTGGTTACTATATATTAAATAAAAGAATTAACTAAAATCTTAGTAATTCTTTCGTTCGCTATATAATAAACGAAAGAATTAACTAAAATCTTAAATTAACCAAACTCTTAAATTAACTAAAATCTTAAATTAACTAAACTCTTAAATTAACCAAACTCTTAAATTAACT